AAGTTCTTTATTTTCTGTAATGCAATTAAAAAAACAAAAATGTCATACATTCTGGATTCATTACAAATCAACTGAAATATTGCAAGCCTTTTATTATTTTAATATTGCTGATTATGGCATACAGCTTAAGAAAACTCAAATATCCTATCTCTAAATATTAGAATATCATGAAAAAGTGTACTAGTAGGGTGTTCAACGAATCACTTGAATCGTCTAATTAACTCGAAACACCTGCAAGGGTTTCCTGAGCCTTGAAAAACACTCAGCTTGGTTCAGTAAACTAAATCACAAGTATGGGGAAGACTGCTGATCTGACTGCTGTCCAGAGGACCGTCATTGACACCCTCCATCAGGAGGGTAAGACACAAAAAGAAATTTCTCAAAGAGCAAGCTGTTCACAGAGTGCAGTTTCAAAGCACATCCACAAAAAGTCTGTTGGAAGGGGGAAATGTGGCAGGAAACGCTGCACAACCAAGAGAGATGACCGCAGCCTTAACAGCATTGTGAAGAAGAGTCGCTTCCAGAATTGGGGGAGCTTTCAAACAGTGGGAGCTGAAGCTTTGGCAGTCCAGGCTATTCAAAGTCTACTGTTCACAGACGTGTCCGGGAGATGGGCTTACAATAGCCGTATTCCCATGGTCAAGCGCACTTCTGCTGAACTCAAGACAACGGAAAGAGCCGTCTGACTTGGGCTAAGGGAAAGAAGGACTGTGGACAGTTGGCCACAGTTGGTCCAAAGTCCTCTTTCGCAGACCGGAAAGCAAGTTGTGTATTTCATTTGGAAAGTCAAGGCGCCAGAGTCTGGAGAAAGGCTGGAGAGGAGCAAAAATCCAAGTTGCTTGGAATCCAGTGTGAATTTTCCCACAGTCCAGCGATGGTTTGGGGAGCCATGTCAGGCTGCTGGTTGTTGGTTCCACTGTGTTTCATCAAGGCCAGAGTACAAATGCAGCTGTGTACCAAGCAGATTTAGAGGCACTACATGCTTTCGTTCTGCTGAAAAGCCTCTGTATGGAGATTGAGGATTCATTTTCCAGCATGATCTGTGGTCAACCCTGTGCCCACCAGTGCCAAAACCACCAGGTAACCTGGTGGTACTGACCATGGCATTACGCTGTCCTCGATTGGCCTGCAAATTCCCGCTGACCTGAACCCCATAGAGGAATATGTGGGTATTGTGAAGAAGAAGCTGAAAGACACCGAGACCCAACAATGGCTAGAGGCTAAAGGCCGCGTATTGGAAGCATCCTGGGCATCCCATAAAACCTCAGCAATGCCACAGGCTGATTGCCTCCATGCACGCCGCCATTGATGCAGTAATCGTGCAAAAGGATTCGCCAACCAAGTACATGCATTAATGGACATTCTTCAAATGTTGATTGTGTTTTGCTGTTTATAATCTTTTTTTTTTGTACTTGGTCTGAGGGAACTATTCGTAATTTTTTGAGATAGGATTTTTGAGTTTTCTTAAGCTGATATGCCATAATCAGAATATTAAATAATAAAAGGCTTGCAATATTTCAGTTGATTTGTAATGATTCCAGAATGTATGAGCATTTTTGTTTTTGTTAATGGATTACAGGAAAATAAAGAACTTTTTTCACAATACTTCTAATTTCTGAGACAGTCCTGTTATATATATATAATATATTATATTATCAGCCACATATTCAAAACAAGGAGAAACAAACACACTTGGAATGGCCAGCATTATTCTGCCACAGAGGGCGATGAGTCTGGGCAAGAGTCTTGTTTCACCGCATGCTCCTCCCCTTCAGACCAGGAATAGCGAGGCTCATCGTACCAGGCAGACACACACACACACAACACACACACACACACACACCACACACACACACACACACACCACACACACACACCAAACACACACACACACCACACACACACACCAACACACACACACACACACAACCACACCACACACACACACACACACACACACACACACACAACACACACACACACACACGACACTCTGTTAGATGTAGATGTTCTTTCTGATCTTGAGATTGTTTACACTTTTGGGTTCATACTTTGCATAAATATCCAAGTAACGTAACATTTAAGGTACAGGAAACTGAAATTGAGCCCAAACTGGATTACACATGAAATAATGGTATACATAAACTTTTTAATAGTCAGACAAGTCAGTGCAGTGAAAGGAGGCAATACAGGTATTTGATAGGAACATCATCATTTAGAGAGGAAATGCCTTCATAGCGTTCAATCAGCAGCCATGCGTCCCAGCCCCAGAAGGACATGGTTCAGGCCCTGGTTCCGGCCCCAGCAGCCATGGTGCCTCCTCTAGTCCGCAACTCAAGTCGCCTACCCTATGCCGGGGTCCTGCCAACCCTATGNGCTGTTCAGCTAGCGAATCAGTGCATGAGAAGCGTTAACGGAAGTGAGGGAGGTAAACAAATGATTTAAAATGGAAGATGGAACACACACGGACGGCTATTTCACCTCATCGGTTTATAGAGCTCCTGTTCGTTCATGTTTTCAATGGACGAGAGTGAAAATGGAAAGAAAAACGCTATTTGTTGTTTGTTTATATCACGGAGTCTGTTCTTCTTCTCTGTCTCCCGGTTGTTCCGGTTGTTGCCTCTTTTGAATGATGAATACACACTACCGCCGCCTGCTGGTAAGGAGAGTTATTGCCACTCACGCATACGCAGCTCATACGTGCTCGGCTCGGATTTGCGGTGTGTTCCAGTGCGCGAAGTCGGCAAAACGCAGGAGAGTCCGGCGACGCAACAGTCGGTGTCGGCGACTTCTCAGGTGACTGGCCGGTGTATCTGGGCCTTTACAGCAACACACAAGCCTGGAGGAAGAGGTTGATAGATGGAAGAAAATCATTATTGTTTTTACAATAACATATCAACAAGTTGAGAATAGATTATAATTGTCTAGGGTAATGAGATATTTCTCTATCTACTCTGATACACTGAATGTATTGCAAAGATAATTCAGAAGAATGGGGATATAAAACTATAGTTAGTGAAGTTACTAGGATCACCAGATTATCATAAAGGTTCATTTTAGCATGTTGAATATATTGAGGATAAAAAAGAAAAGTTCTTATTGATCTGCTGTTATCTTACTTTGCGCCCTTTTGTAGTGATGTTTTACTATATCTGTTACTCTATCTGGTTGTGGGGGATCAAATTGTTTAATCCAATCATTTAAATAAAGAGCTCACCAACAATAGCAAATACAATTCCAAAAAGCCAAATAACAGCAGTTACCCAAATGATTATGATAACATCTGCTTCGCTAGGAAACAAAGCTTTTTTGTGGCAGGTATTTTTAAAGTAGTAAAGTGTAATTATTCAAATTGGCAATAGCCACAGGCGTTGGAGCAGGACTAATTACAGTTTTGGCTCTGCGGCATAGTTTAGATAACACCAAGTGGAAGCTGCCTGTTATTGACAAGGTAGCCATGCTCTAAAGCACATAGGTTACAAAAACAAAATTACAATATAAACATTATGCTGTTTTGAGAAAAACTGCAAAAAAGCAATTGAGACCATAAACTCATCAGGAAAATGTTCACTGACGAGTTAAAGCAAATGGAAATAGGATCTTTTTCTCATACACGTGTACAATAAGAATATTATATGCAAACAATTGATGCTCCGGCTATTCAAAAGAATGCATGCTTAAGACACTTTGACTAGATTAGATTAAATATAGTGACATGCCAACTATAGTTTCAACAATTCACATTTCATTTAGTTTAAAATGGCAGATTGTGCCACCACCAGGAATACAAGAAATTGCATTTAGAGAAAAGTTTACAAGAAGTGAAAACATTAAGTAAATGTTGCTTCAAAATCAACATGTGTGAAAGCATTCAAAAGTTAGAGTTGGATTTAACTTTCTAAACACTGCACCTGCTGCACTGAGTGTTGCAACATAATACCTGGCGCTAGAGAACGACAAATCTGGACTGCAGTCAAGGGAAAGGCGAGCCGTGATCAATACTTGGCCTAATGAAAGATTTTATTAAATGTGTCTTTTATTAACTCTTGATTTTCTGTCAAGAGAAACATTTGAGAAGAACATCCAAATCTGCTGTTTACCCAAATGGGCTGAATAATGAATTCAATTTGATACTAAATTGCAGACGTTAGGTTACGCCTCCTAAACAGAAGCGCAGGTGTTATGCCGTGTCGAAATACTCTTGCACATGCACAAGAATTTTTAAAAGACGCCACCAAAAAAGACTATAAGAAGAATTACGTCAGAAGTGGTGAAATTGAGGTGCTGTTGAATAGTGTGGTTTACCAGACTATCAGTGGTGGTGTTATCAAAGACTTGAACGGCTAAAGCATCGAAAAGCAGTATTTAAAGCCATTCAAAATCTAAAACAAGCAATATCTTCCAATGTTGTTTATAATCCATAATGAGATTGAAAAGTTTTGTTTCCCTAAATACAACTTGTGAACTATAAAAGGAAAATGTGTATTCATACTAAGAGTGCTTGTTAAACTTTCTCTTACCAGCAAATATGAGAAAAAATATTAGTATCACAGCAATCAATTGGTACTCCCGGAATAATAAAACAATGTGGATATGAACACTAAGAGAAAAAACATGTTTCCACATTAGGCCCATCGTGTGTAATGACTATTGTATTTTTTATGTTTTTTCCCTTCACTTAAACAAGTGTTTACATTGTGCGTGTGTGTGGATTACAGGAAAAACTGACCTAAAGTGCAGCTGGGAAGATACGAGGACAAACATGCGTGTAAAGACATTCTGCTCACTGGGTGTGATTAAGGACAAACCAAGTAATGTAATGTATGGCATACTGTTTTTTAACTAAAATGCCACCAGTGTATGTTGCCACACCCCTGCAATTTAATTAAATCATTACTTAATTACAGCTTATGGGCACCAAAGACATCTAAGCAAGCGACAAGACAAATGACAAACACACTCTGTTGAACCTGTCTTGTGAGCAAAAGTATGTTAAGACAGATTTTAATGTCAGGCATCATTTAATGAGGGTGCAACTATAAAGGTTAACTTCCCACAACAACAGCCTAGTCACTGATTGCCACTGTGACATCTACATAATTATGCAGCAGTTTGCTGTGTAAGTTGGAAAAAATCTTTGGTATTTTAAACAGGGCCACTAGTTCCACGTCAGTATGTATGCAAAACTGAGCTGGGCGGTGACCTAGGGAGCCACCAGCTGGTGGAAAAGCAAGGAGAAATCTTCTTTAAATTCATTTCAGATGCCCTGTCAGGCCCTCTGCCTAGCCTCCTCCCTCCCCCCCCCTCTGTATCCGTTTGTGTGTCTCTGCTTGAATACATGGGGGAGATCTGGTGTGCAGGTGTCAGGAACAAAGCTGCTATCATCCCAATCAGCTGGGCTGTAGCTCCGACTCTCCAAAAAGCTATCAGATCGTAGATTCTGCTGCCCTGCCTACCGTCTCTACCTGGACCCCACTCTGTACCAAGAAATCGCATATTTATTATAGACATTTATATTTTATGTTGCAGTATAATGAAAAGAAACCCAGAAGTCATGTTTGAGGATAACAATTCTGTGTTTAATCTATTAGAGAAAGGTTGAATCACCTGTTTTAAGACAGAAAAAAGTAATTAATGGGAATTAATGACGGTAGATCTTCAATTTAATAGAAAGTGAATAGTCTCACAAGAACCTGAAATCTATTTTTAAATGAACTTTCATGTTCACTAAAGCTATCTCACCTTCTGTAAAATAAATGAATGTGCCAGCTGTTAGGGCCAGCCACAGCATTTGCAGCTGTCCCTAAAGACCAGAGTAGCCGGGCAGTTCATGATCCAGGTGACGCCGTGGCCACAGTTGTAGAAGGATCCTGGGGCATCAGGTTTGGCATAAACCCCACCAGGCTTTGTAGCACAGAAATTATCTGGTTTGGGATGAGGGCTGGGGCGGAGGGTGGGACGAGTGGTGGGCTGAGGCTTATTTGGGTTTGTAGACGGAGTCACTGGATTTGGGGTGGTTTCTCCTGTAGGAGCGGGAGAAGGATCTGTAGAAACAATAGTACAATATAAGAAGTTATAAACTGTCAACATATCTTCACTTGCAATATATTGTTTCTACTTACCTGTGGCCATAAGAGAGCGGAGGGAGCTGATGAGGGGATAGTTTCCCTGTCCACAAAACTGCCCGTTAAAGTCATCTAAGTCCAGAGCCCAGACAAAAGCTCCTCCGAATCCGTTTTCCTTTAAGTAACTGACCTGAATAAATAGCCACAGAAACACTTTAATAATGTATGCACCTAGACATTGAACTTTTGTTTACTGGAAAGACAAATTTGGTATAAATATTTTTGTAGAAAAGAAGGAATACCTTAGTCGCAAAACTTTCTTTGTTGTCATATCCAACCCACTCACTCTGTTTGACGGCATATGGAACTTTCTGGTCCTCAATCATCTGAACACTGGCCCCTTTAAGAAAAGTGCAGATCTGAAAAGAGGGTTAAATGTAATCAGTAACATAGACTTACTAATACAACAAAGACTGAGGGTTACATTTATGTAATTGTTTCCAGTTTCACCTCATAATAGGACCACATGCCGGCCTCTCTTGTAAAAGCCCCAGCAGAAGCGGGACCGCTCGCTGCCGCTCCAACCTGACTGGATTGAGTAGACAGATGAAATGTCCTGCCATATGTTGCAAAGCCCATATTTAGCTTTTCGACAGGTGTGCCGTTGTCCCGCCAATATTGCATGGCAAAGTCCTAAAATGTGTATAAAAACAAATGGACAGAAGTCTAAGTTTCCAACCAAATGTTTTAACAGAAATGTTCAGAAATCTGCCAGATAATGCAAATGAATGGCGTTTCCATCTTCTACTTTTACTAGAAGAAGCTGGGCCCATTGAGATGAACCATTGTAGAAGAAGACAATGACTTGACTATTGTTAAACCTTAAACAAAGCTAAATGAAATGGAAATATCTTGTAATGATATGAGGAACATTAGTCTCCTCATCACTCAACACAGATCTGATGTTTATCTAAACATGCTACAAGTAAATTATTATTTTTCAATGTTTTCTTCTTTTGTGCTTTGTTGGATTTATGAATGCCATCATGTCCACCTCAGCCAAGTTTAAAATCTGTTTTACAATACTTATGTATTTCATTTATTGTACACTGGCATGGGCGTGGCTTTAAATTGAATGCAAATTGAAAATGTGAATTGAATAAATAAACTTTAAGAGACATTATGCATTAACATTGAATAACGTCTTTACATTTGCGATGCAGATAAAATATGATTCTCTGTACTCACAGTATTTAAGTAGACATTGTCCCCGGTCTCATGGGATCCCTTGTACAAGGGGCTGTTGTGTCCAGTCACACTCTCCCAGGTGCCATGGAAGTCATACGTCATCACATTAATAAAATCCAGGTACCTAGTGAAAATCATGTGAGATTAAGTCAACCAAAACATGATGAAAGCTTGATAGGGAAAATGTGTTGAGTCACATGTTGGTGTACTTTGCAATCTCCGCGATTTCATAACCAGCATCAGTGGTTCCTTTCCCAGCAGACACAGCAGCAGAGATCATTAAACTCTTCCGGCCAGTTGATGTCCCCTCAGCCTGATACGCCTCGAAAAGTTCCTGTACACCATAAATCATGGAGAAGTCCATTTTGGTTCATAATAAACACAACTTGTGCACCAAAGCAGTGATTTTTGATCTGACCTTGCATAACAGCGTGAATCTCTGCTTGTCCTCCGGGGGACTTTCTCTTGCACCGGGGTATTCCCAGTCCAAATCAAGTCCATCAAAACTGTATGTTCTCAGTAGTTTGATAGAAGACTGGATGAATGCATTTCTGTTAGCTTGTGTTGACACCATTGTTGTGAATCTGGGTATAAGTTTCAGGGAAATAAAACAATTTTGAGGAAGTGCAATACAGTGATCTTTAGCTATTGTGTTTTGCTAAATATCTCACTTTTGTGTTCCAAAGTTCCAGCCTCCGACTGCCAAGAGTGTCTTCAGGTCTGGATTACTGTGAGAATATATACATTTAGTTGCCGGCAACATTTCACTGAGATAAAAAAGGAAATGATACATTGTTTAACTGACCTCTGTTTGAGTCCATTAAAGGATTTATAGAGTTGATCATCATTCCATTCGATGGTGACCAACTCATTCGCAGTGTTTATACCAGAAAAGGCGTAAATCAGGTGGGTGCACAGGTTCGGATCAACATTTTGAGGCATAAACTTCCCTTGGTCGGGACGATATTGGGACCAGTTGGTGAAATAACACACCAGTCTGGAGGAGGAGACTATATTGTTTCGTTAATATTGGAGATTCATTAATACTTCACATTCAACAAGTACACTTTGTTAAGTTGCTACCAAATATGTTCAGTATTAATATCAAATGTGAACTCACCCAAACTGCCCAGAGAAAGACACAGACCTTCAAAGCAAAAATAGTCAGTGAATATTAGGTAAAACAGTAAAAAATATGTCATGCTTTTCGTAGGGCCTTACCTGCAATCAGAATCAGCCGATTCATGGTTGTGCTTGGATGAGCTCTTTCAGAATACTGAGCAGCTTTTATTTCCTCCTGAAAAACTACACAAACAGTGATAATCATCAACCAGGAAGGAATTTACAAAGAGTATGTCCCAACTTTAGACTCTACGCTGTTGCGTCATACATATCAAATAAGAGAAGCTGTTTAAGGTCATTTGTCACATGCCAAACCAGCAACCTGTGGGTGATCTTTTGTGGTCTATTAATATCCTTCAGCTGCAGATAAGCATCTCACTTACAATGGAAACAATTTCTTTCATTGTTCAAAGCATCCCACGCTTTGTCTTTGCTTTGTCTTAACCATTGTGGAACGCAGAACAGAGATGTTAGTCAATAGTGACACAACTTCTTAACTTCTTAACCTGAGGGCTACAAGCCTCACAAACGAACACACATCTTAAAGGTTATGCTTTTGTTTACATCAGACATACACAGACACATTGATTTGAAACAGCTTTATTTTTGCAAGATTGAGTGCACGCAATCTTGTTTAAAATATCTATTGTTAATTGTGTTGTCTGTAATCCTATTGTCAGTGTCTTACAGCTCACCTGGAAAACACCTGCCTTTATAGATGTGTCAGCTAATTGGACTACGCCATTCCTCTCAAACCCTGAGAGGTGTTTAAAGAGGCCACTCCATTTAAGCGTTTTTAGAGCCTCTTCCCCCTGCACGCAACAATGGACTGGCCGGTAGTGCTATACATTCCTGCAGTGTGGAGATGAGGGGGGGTATGTGAGTTGCTCTTGGGCAGAAGAGCACACAGGATGTCACCTATTTTTGTGAGGTTTTGTTTATGCGTTAAATGCTAGATTGTGTCTGTTTATATCTACAACTTTTTGTTTATAATTTATTTTATTACCAATCTTAAAACTTTACATATATTAGGTAAATAAAATCCTTATTTTTGCACCTCAACCTGCATTCCTGATTTTTGCGTACCCTGGTCCTTCACAAGCCCCAAGCCTGTTTTTCAGGCCTTAGGCTCGAAAATGACATTCCCAGAACAAATTACAATAACTTCACTTCTAAAACGGGTAAATTAATAATATTTCTTTTGTTTTAAAGTAAATTCAGATTGAACATAGTAAAAAAATGTAAATTATAGTGTCCGTCCAAAAATAAACCATTACTTATAGTGAAAACCACCCTTGAATGATGGGATAGTAGACTAAAAGCTTTAGGAATCCAAACTATAACATATAAGTACCCTGTATCAAGATTGATGCAAAACAAGTGACATTTGACCTTTTTAGAGAGGTTTACACCTCTGGGGTCATTTGGGTAGAAATGGGTGTATTTGCCGTGTCTCTGGAACCCATTGGTCGACTTTGATGATTGACATCTCTTTTGAACCGTTAGAGCCAATAGAATCGAAGGGGAATTTCCACATACTGTACACATACAAGTTACCATTGAGAAATGAGAGCTATGCGCACGCAGTTTGCCCAAAGCGAAACCTATTTTACGCTCTGAAATCTAAAAACTGAAAACTAGATTTATTGCTGATGGATTATCAGTAATCATTTCAAAGTGACACAGACACATTGGATTAACCTATGGATTAACCTTCACCAGTGTTTTTATCGTTTTAATGTCATTGAAGACAACTTTTGATCAGAAAACAACAAAGGCAAGACATATTGCCGTGTTGGCTACCTAATGCTACGTGGTGTGATGTCTTTGTTAGCTTCTAATGTCGCGAGTTCGGATCGGTCAATAATGATACTAATACCTGTCGAATCTGTGCAATCTCAGTTTGCTAATCGATATCTTGTTTGTGCAGATACGATAAGTAATAAGGGTAAGGTAACGTGAGTTCTGTGCTAAGTGTGTTAGCACTTTTTCGCTCGGGGCTAATTCAGAGCCTTTGTTATTACCCTTATGTTTCGTCTTGCTAAAAATGGTTAATATTGTCTGATAGCTGAGTTTCTTCCCGTTAAGTGGGTATGACACATTAATAGGTTTTTAAATGTTAAGAAGCCCTCAGAGGCTCAGACGCTGTTTCTTGCAGATGTTGTGATTTTTCCCTTGCCCGCGGTGGGAATGGGGCTTAACATTCAGTTTCCTGCTGGAAAAATAATCCTCCTTTGTACAAACAGAGAGGCGTTTAAAAGCCAATTCTGTGTCTCAATGTACTGTAGACTGAAATGGTAAGATAATCATGTCAACAAATTGGTTTCCATATTATTTGGAGATCATTTATTTCAAATAAATACCTAATATGCTATTTGTGGCAGCTGTTACTACCAGCCAAAGCTTTCACCAGGCATATTAAAGGTTGGGATATTTTATTTGACATCACAAAATAAGACACTCAGACACTACAAGCCCCAGCACCCTCTTTAAGAATGTGTGTGAATGGGTGAATGCTGACTTTGAAGGGCTTTGAAGAGCCGTAAAGACTGAATAAAGCGATATATAGTAAATACAGTCCATGATTCTGAATCCTACCAGCCTAAGTACATACCTTTATATATACAGTCTATGGTACATACACATGGATAAATGGAAAGCCACACCTAAAGAAGAGGCATGTCTTCTTTCCCCTGCCATTAACTTAGGGCAGCATCATATTGGAATTGGAGAGTAAGGCAATTTCTTTTGATGAGAAGAAAACTAAAAATGTTTTAAAGTGAATTTAACTAGTTAACTTTTTGTCACTTGTTGATTTTTCACCCATCTTTATCTCTTTAAATACTTTAAAGAAGACACATTATGCTTATTGTCAGGTTCATATTTGTATTGTGTGCTATTACTGTGACATATTTACATGCTTTAATGTGTAAAAGTGCTTTATTTTTCTCATACTTTCCTGTGCTGCAGCTCCTCTTTTGCTCTGATTGGTTAGCTTTGTAACCGCTTAGAGATATCCGGCCCTTAGCCCATCACATTCAATGTGTTGGAGCACTTGCCAATAGAAGCACGAGTGTTACTTAATAATGTGATGGAAGAAAAACAAAGGAGTTCACTCAGTGATTCAGGCAAGGGGGGGGGAGTGTGTTCAGAGAAACTCGCTCTGGCATGAACTTTGGTATTTCAGCCTATAACACTACATGAAAGGGTAAACCCCCCATTTGATGTATAACCTTTTTCCCATGGGGCTTACCCTGCTCCTTCACGGTGAGCATAACAAGTAAAGTGTTGTGCAGTCTGTGGTTTGTATACACAAATTTAACCAAATAAAAGAAGCCTTTCTGTTTAATGCATCATATATTTATTTAAGGCCAGTCGCAGCAGTTACATTTTTCACTGAAAATGAGATTAGCTGGGCAATTCTGAAGGAATGTTCTTCCCTGGAAGCACTGATAGAAGGTGCCGGGCTTCTTGTCATTTCTGTAGAGGCCGTCGCGCTTCCCGGCACAAAAACTTCCAGAAGTGGCAGTTGTGGTGGTGGGAGTGGTGGTGGGTTTGGAAGAGTGAGTTGTAGGAGCAGTGGCAGTGGCAGAAATTGTTTGGTTTCCTACGACGGGACGGGTTGTAACGATCTCTGGTGCAATTGTGGTTTGAGGAACTGGAGGTGGGAAATCTAGTAAGAAGAAAAACAATACATTTAAATTCAAGACATTATGGAAGGTTGTACTTCCTAAGGAGATGGTAAAATGTTGAGATATTTGTTTACCTGAATCCATAAGAGATCGCAGATAGCTGATGAGAGGATAGTTTCCCTCGCCACAGAACTGTCCAGCAAAATCATCCAGGTCCAGAGACCAGATGAAGGCTCCTCCAAACTTGTTATCTTTTACATACTTTGCCTATGGAATATGAATTATAGAGAGTTCTTCAGTCTAAAATGCAAATGTTGTTATTTTAAAATATATGATTTGTATTTTTATTCATAGAGTGAATACGTGTCTGATCACATGAAGCCTCAAACATAAATAGAAAACACAGAGGCTATTATTTGAGATAACCTTGCCTCCAAAGAGAAGAATATTTTAGTAATAAAGCAGTTAAAAGGTAAAATGATACGTGAGCAATCATTATTTGCCTGCACAATTGTAGGCCCTGAAAGGTTTATCAAGACCTTATGCCAGAATAGGGTTTAATTGATGAAGCCACATGTTTGAACTACAATATATTTGTTTGGCATTGTCAAAAGAAAAATGAAAAAAAAAATTATCCGAGATATTTTGATGATTAACTGAATGTACAAGATTTTCTCTTGTTTCCCCATTAAAGCTTTTTTAATGTAACCCTGCTTGTATATTAGTATCTGAGCAGAGATTGACTTGCAGAGGTGAGATAATTGTGATTACTGTTAATTATAGCTTGATCTGCTTTGTAGTGTTTTTCTCTAAAGCAAAAATGCAAGAAACCTGTAATAATCCAACAAAAAGTATCCAGTCTTGAGGGGATGTTTGCCAAAAGAAACAGTTTCCAGTTACAGTGCCAACTCCAGCTCAATATAAGGCATTAACATCTGTCTGTGCTGTGCTCATTGTCATCAGCTGTGCATAGCTGGAGAGTAGTGGTAGAGTGGTATATGCTACTTTTATCTTGTTCATTATCTCAACGAGACGTGGAGGAAGATATGTTTTTATTACCTTGAGTTCATAGCTCCTTCTGTTTTCGTACCCAACCCACTCATTTCCTTTGATGGCATAGGGCACCATTTGATCATCAATCCACTTGACAGTGGCTCCATTGAGGAAAGTGCAGATCTGTAGAAATGGAAGGAAGTGATAATTAAACATCCTCCACATGCTTTTAGACATATATTCACGAGGTCTTGTACTAACTAAATCTGCACTGAGTTCATTTAATCATGAAATTGTGTTTCAGTGTTGCTCTTCATTGAACTTTGACTGACCTCATAGTTGGACCAAAACCCAGCTTCCCGGGTGTAGGGCCCGGCAGCGGCTGCTCCGCTGGCTGGCGCTCCAACACCGTTACCTGCTGGTGTTGTGCGAAATGTGCGTCCATATGTAGTAAAACCGATTAAGAGCTTTTCAAGAGGAGCTCCTTGGTCCCTCCAGTATTTCATGGAAAAGTCCTGTGAGACAAAAACATTTTAATAGTAAAAAGACAAGGACATATAAGTATTCAGCTTCTGATTAGTGAGGATGACACATCCATGTTGTCAAAGAGTTTACTCACCACATTGTAGTAGATGTTTTCGCCCTGATCGGCAGAGCCACGGTACAGAGGGCTGTTGTGACCAGTGAACGGGTCCCATGCTCCGTGGAAGTCATAAGCCATGACATTTATAAAGTCCAAAAACCTGTAACACAAGCATGATGTCACATAGTACAACAAATAAACCATTTATTTGGTTTCAACTTTGAAGCTAAATGACTCGCCATCACTGGAACTCACTTTGAAACTTTAGCAATCTGATATCCATTGTCGATGTTTGCCTTCCCAGCAGCCACTGCAGCTGTGAGCAGCAACCGTGGTTTTCTGGTTTCAGTGGATTCCTTTTCATAGGCGGCGAGTAATTCCTAAAAGCAAGATTTAAATAGTTGAGGATAATGTACAATATAATATTACATTGCTGTAGTATCTTGAATCAGGGTGCTATTTTGATGTTTCATTCTACGGGATCAGCGCAGGACGCAACTAAGTACATTTACTCAAATACCATACTTAATTACTATTTTTGACATAATTCTACTTTAAGTATTTCCATTTTCTGCTACTTTATACTTCTATCCCATTACATTTAATAGGCAAATATTGTACGTTAACTCCACTTAAACACTCATAGTTACTAGTTACTTTTGACATGTACCTGATATGCACAATGTGATATAATACAGCTGTACTACTAAGGTGCAGTGTTTTAAAAAATCTAAATCTAAAATTGGCACCATATTGCCAAACTACAACCTTAAAATCTCCCAAAATGCATTTGTTAGTGATAAAAACAGAATAATTTAATATTGTATACAAATGAAATACTGTGAAAGCTGATCGAGCTGAAAACAATTCTGTAGTCCTACTTTAAGTAACATGTTGCATTCAGGACTTTTACTTGTAATGGATATTTTCAGACCATAGAATTTGTACTTCAACTCAAGTACAAATTCTCAAGGATCTGAGTACTTCTTCCACCTCTGTGTGGGATTATTTCAGTAGTGCTGCTATGGGAGGTCTTCCATACTGACCTGGCAGAGGACTGTGAACCTCTTCTTGTCCTCTGGAGGGCTGCCTCGTGCTCCGGGATACTCCCAGTCCAGATCCAGCCCATCGAAGCCATGCAGTCTCAAAAATCTGATAGAAGACTGGATGAATTTCTGGCGGTTGGGCTTGGATGAAACCATGATGGTAAATCTGCAAATGTAAAAGAATTTATAGCAACACTGTTCATGATGTTCTTCTTATTATATGAGATAAAGCAGTTTCAAAGCTTTGTGATTCCTCGTGGACTCTGTTTTGGCAATTGTGGTATTAAAGCTTAATACAGAAAGACAAAGGAAGACATTTGCTCGAGGGGAGTAGCTGCGACACCCAACTGTTCTTTGTAGGGTGTGAGTTTTGTCTACTGCCACAGGGCGACCATCCTGGATCACATGTTATTGTGTTGTCATGTAAAGGATCTTTGATGTGTCCCTATAAGAGTGGCTGTCACACACAGAACAGGACGCACTCTGAACGAGTCGTCATGCTTGCAAGCTTTAAACGAAGATCTTAAAATACTTCATATCGATATTTTGTTTCTTTGCATATTTGCCTAACTCATCATTTTCTCTAGACAGCAGCTGATTTTAAGTTGCTACGACAACTCACTGTGTTGATCCGAAGTTCCACCCGCCGACAGCCAGCAGAGTCTTCAGACTAGGGTTTCTGTGAGAGATGAAGATAACATGTATTAGTGAAAGAGGACGTAAGATCGTTCTGTTTGCTGATAAGGTCAAAGAAGCACTCTTTATGTACAAATACTTCATTACATGAAACAATGCCCATGATAATTTCACACAACCCAATGTGCATTACATGTAAAAGTGCATGTACAGGAATATGCCTTTTACTCATGATCTCATACTTCACTTGCTACAAGTTTCTCCATAAAACCCTTTCTTTGCTTTTAGTATTTATATTTATTATTGCCAATTTTTATTTTGTTATCTTCTTTTGTTTGTAGGTGTTTCTTGTTACTTTCTGTCCATTCAGTTAAAGTTTCACTACTGCAATACATCTAACCATTTATTAGTCTTTGACAATTTCCTCATATGGAGACCACTACCAGTCACACTAAACCATTTAACTTCCACCCGCCTGCCGATGTGATTAGCTGTTGTTAAATAACAGCTGATAAGACTGCAGGTATTACTGGTCCTGCAGTAATAACTCACGTGTTCTTCAGCTCATTGAAGGATTTGTAGAGAACATCATCATTCCACTCATAGGGTGCCAGCTCGTTGGAAGGGTTGATGATTGAAAATGCGTAGATCAAGTGTGTGCAGAGGTTGGGGTCCACATTGGCGGGCAAATATTTGCCGACACCTGGTCTATACTGGGACCAGTTGGTGAAGTAGCACACCAGTTTGGTTGAAGACACTATTAGAGAGAGGAGATTATATTTAGAACAAGTTATTTAGAAGCAATGTACACAGAGGTGGGAAGTAACTGAGTACATTCACTCAAGTATTGAACTTAAATGCATTTTGGAAATACTTGTACTTTACTTGAGTATTTCCATTTTATGCAACTTTTACTCCACTACATGTACTTTATACCTTTAGTTACAGATTTGGGTTAATAGTGTGAAATATAATCAATCCTTAAATTAACTTTATTTAAACCTGAAAGGACATTCACAAGCTACCCTGCAGCATACAAAGAATTAAATCCAGCTGCACCTTCACCAGTTTTGATAACACTTTAATGCATCAATAATTATAATCAAAGCATTTAATATGTATTAATCTGAAACAGGCCAATCTGCATAATGAGTACTTTTACTTTTGGTACTCTAAGTATATTTAGATGCCAATATTTCTGTACTTTTACTTGAGTAACGTTTTGAATGCAGGACTTTTACTTGTAACAGAGTATTCCTACAGTCTGGTACTTCTTTAACTCAAGTATAAGATAAGTACTTCTCCCACCTCTGAATGTACATGTATTATAAAGTTATATGAGTTTAATAATGAATACATACCCAACTGGAGACACATCAAAAGGGACAGCCCTAAAAGGAGAAAATAAAGGTTTTATTTTTCAAACATATTCTGTACACAATCACGGTCTTTAAATGAACACAAAATTGAAATAATAAAACTTACCGGCTAAGATTGTTAGACGAGCCATGTTGTGTCCGCTGAGCCTATTCCACAGAGCTGAAACAATTAAAAAATAATTGTGTTTTATGAATTTTGCATTATAGTTGCCAACTATAGTTAACCATATAAAGTCTGTATTTTCCGCACATAACAAAACATGTATTCAGAAGAATTATCTTTATTGTAAAACTCGGGTAAAAAGACATTTTGCAATCATTCCCCAGGTGGAGTTCAATACACAAAACATTTAAACAAGCACTAGTTAAATCAAATGTAAACATTGACAATTGAACACGTTAAACTGTAAAATGTAATTTATTAAAATCTCTTTGTGCTCCTGACTTACCGGTTCACAGTCGATCGGCTGGATGTTCCTCGGATCCTCCTGGAAGTCCTTTTTATAGACGTGATAAGAAAGGGACAAAGGCTACGTGTCCTGACAGGGAGGTGACATGAATACTCCTGAGAGACAATAATTATCACTCTAAAATTTAAATTAGACTGCAAAGAGCCGCTGTGCGTGATTTGACTTGAATGTCATATCCATTTTTATGGTCTGATAACTCGAGATCAGACCATTAAAGTTAAACTTGCCTCAGTAAAGTGTCTCAGATCAGAACATCTGATCATGCAGATAAGATGAACTTGATAAAAGTATAAACTGATGTGCTGTATTTTATATGACTTCAGGATTACAATGGTTTCAAAGGTTAAGTATGGATGTAAATTGCTCTTTCTTGTCTTAGACTGTTGACCTGATGATTTTCTGAATTAATCAATCAGTTCATCCATGAAATGTCCAACTTTTTTTTAACATGGCCAATCTTTTTTTTCTTCCATAGCTCAAAGTTATGTCTTTAAATATTTGTTTTGTCAAATCCACAGCGAGGAAAGCAGCACATGCTCACATTTGACAAGTGGTTGCCAGCAACAGTTTTACATTTCAATTAGAAGATTGAAAAAATACATAGCACTTTTTGGTAACAGTGGGAGTAAGAGCATTAAAAGACCTTTCAGTATCAGTTACAGGACAATTTGATATATACCTAGGCTGATCATTGCACAATGAGCATGTTAGACACTGTTTCCGTGCATATTGGTATTCGTAGTCATGAATAATAATAATAATAATAGATTTATTTTTGTTAGCGCTTTTACAGGTGCTCAAAGATGCTTTACAGATATAGTGAAAAGAAAAGAAAGGAACAACAAAGAAATACATAGTTAAAGTTAAAGTCAAATAATACAAAAACAATCACACATTAAAAGCCAGATTGAAGAGGTGAGTTTTTGTAAGTTTTTTGAAGGTGGTGAGGTTGGTGCAGTCTCTCAGAATAGAACCGTTTGCTGTCTAAACCTCCTTTACTTTGCATTAACTATAAACGCAAAGGAAAAGCCTTGCATGTTAATCTGTACTTTACGATTCGGTCGTTTCCTCCTCTAATCAGAGAGTTTTCCATAATAAAAACTCAATATCATGGGCTACAGTATCATATCAGAGGCCTAATCAACCTCAATGGTTGTTTGATAAGATGTCCTTTACAATTAAACTATATGAACTCTGATGACGTAACTGCAGGTTATCTCCTTTGGCAGCAAAATGACCGGAGTTAAAAAAGATTGAAAGATTGATTTTTTTCTAGGTTTGGCTGTAAGAAAAATTCATGCAGCAACAGTCTGAGAGACATTTGGAATAATAAGCTTATTTCCCTCTAAGAACGAGATATAGATGAGAAACATCAACTCACATCTGTATGTTAAGTATGCAACTACAGCCGCAGCTACTGAGCTTAGCTTAGCCCAAGCACTGCAAACAGAGCGAAACAAAAGGAGTTGGCCAATAAATAGTCCGGACCCTGTATCCCCTTGTAAAACAGTAATAATTGTCATAAAATACATGCTGGGAAGTGTTACCTTTGGACAAGCCAGGCTAGCAGACTCTCTGTCTATAGTCTTGATGCTAAGATACATTGGCAGTGACATAAGTCTGGTATATTTCCTGTAACTATTCATTTTAACTTTTAAAGGTCACCTATTATGCAAAATCCACTTTTTCATGAATTGTATACATAAACATGTGTCCCCTCTGTTTAAAGAGATTCTGAAGTTTCATGAACAAAGACCCCCTCTCTTTTTGTCCTGATCCATTTCTATAAAAACCTGTCTGAAAATGAGCTGATCAGATTTTGGCCACTTTATGATGTCATAACGATTTTTTGGCTTGTGTAACCATTAGCCAATCACCAACCAAGGTAAACCCCCCACCTTATCNATAAAAACCTGTCAGATCAGATTTTGGCCACTTTATGATGTCATAACGATTTTTTGGCTTGTGTAACCATTAGCCAATCACCAACCAAGGTAAACCCCCCACCTTATCACCTGAATCTCCTCCTAGAGCACCATTATGTTATTTTTAACCAAATATCTCTCAGAGGGGCGTGGGGAGGGGCTCCTTATTTTCATCTAAAGTAACAGACAGTGAATCAGCACTTTTGAAACAGGGCTGAAACAGAGGGGATTATGGGATGCTGCAATGATCTGTTTGGTGTTTGGAGCCAAACACTTCAGAGACATGTTTTGTATATATCTGAGACCTATATATTGATCAAAAACAGTATAATAGGGGACCTTTTAATCACATTAGGGATTCTGATATTTCACCAAATGACATAGACACCTGCAAACAGTTCAAAACCAGTTATTATATTTAAAGAAGATTGAATAACCTCCTTATTATTGTACGGCAGTGGCTCAGTCAGTAGGGGCTTGGACTGGGAGCTGTAGGGTTGCCGGTTCAAACCCCCGACCAAACCTAAATGTGGAGTGTGGACTTCTACTTAGAGAGGTCCCAGTTCACCTCCTCCCCTGCCGTGGTGCCCTTGAGCAAGGCACCGAACACCCCCATTCCCCCATTGCTCCCATTGCTCGCCGGTCGCTGTACAATAGCTGCCCACTGCTCCTAGTACTAGACTCCTGGTACTAGGATGGGTTAAAAGCAGAGGCCACATTTCACTGTGTGCTCTGCATGTGAGACCATTAAAGAGGGTTTCATCCCTCCCAATTATCAGGTTTATTATAGAGTAGCTGGATTTAGCATCAGGAGTCATATCAAACATGGTAGAAATAAATATGTTCCACTTTATTTACATATAGGACATAACTGTAGTAATACATAGATGATGTTAGGGGTCAAATAAACTAAATCGTGACATCAAAAATTATGATTTAGAGTTCAAAGCAGGTACAAAGAGGAACAAGAGCAACTGCTGATTTTAGCGCTGGTTTATGGCTGTTTGCTGATTCCTGATAAGTATGCAATCCAAATCCAGAGTATATTGTGGCTCCTGTGATTGTTAAAATATGGTTTGCTGCCCCTATTTCAAACACACAAATGTCATTATTGAAATTAGCTCAAAGAAAAAATATGCAATACAGATAGTTAAGTTGGTCTCTGCAACGTCTTTTATCAACATGATAAATTGATCCACTTCTGTCTCGTCTGATATGCAGCCAGTGTTTCTCCATTGTGAGGATAACTGAACATGAACTCATGCGTACGCACACAACACACAGCTGTTGTATTTACAAGAAATGAATCACAAAACATATAGCTTGCGTTCCATCAGATGAATAAGGATCTCATCTCTAGTTTTGTCCCAAATATTCCACCATTTTCGTTTTTTAAATGCATGAAAGTTGCTCTGTCTGAGGGTTACAGCACCTCAGGCTCCAGCTGTTCCCTCCTGCAGGCAAACAACAAGCACCCCAAAGTTTAAATTAAAGGTGGCTGGTACAAACACGGCAAAGTCTTCTGAAAAAGAGAAAGGTAGTTTGACTTTGAGTTTTACGCCAGGGAGTAGATGGTATTCATCGGAGAGTGGAGCTCCAGACTTGCTCCAAAGTCCAACTCCCTGACATCCCTCCTGGTTCCTGTGTACTGGCCGATGAAAGAGCCGTCCTCGTCGAACTGTATCTCGCCTCCGTCGCCGTACTCCACCAGACTGTCATCACTGTCTGATCGCTTCATTATCGCTTCTATAGACGGCTGGCCTCTTTGAAGCCCTCTTTCCTCCTCTCTACAAAACAATGCAAACTAGAATTACCTCCTCGCATTTGTACACCACCGCCAAACAAGCGGAGTTGCACATATTTTAAAAATGTTGATATCTTAATATGGCATAAGTGTTTCCCCCTGGTTTTAAATTGCATATATGTTACATTTTGAACCTATCAGACTGTCCAGCTGCTCTTTCATTTGAATTTTGTAATTAATATTATCTACATTTATAACGACTATTATTTAGAAAATCTCATTTTGGAAACATTTGGAAAAAGCAACAAAAGTCAACCCATATACAATTCTCACAATACCAATATTGAGGTGTTAGGTCAACAATACCATTATCATTTTTCCATATCGCACCGACCCTAATCTTAGTGCATTATGTCAGCAAAGGATGACAGAAAGGTTAAAGGATAAACCCTAACATATAAAAACATTAAACATTTGAATGTAAGGTACGTACCGTCGGGGGTAAGGAAGAGTGGAGATACGTGCTATCCTAAAATATGAAGAGAGATTGTATTAGATCATTATTTGTTAATAATTACTTACATATCATTGATCATCCACTCATAACATGATTGAAACAGTTCAAATATTCTGTTATAAATAAACTACTTGTAAGGCTGTAGAGTACACACTGCATTTACAAATGAATAAATAACAACCCACGCAGTCAACGTGTCAATATTTAGTATTTCCTACCTTTCAAGAGACCTTGAGTGGTTCATGGGAAAAGAGCAGGGTTGAGGTTTGGGGGGAATAAAGGTTTAGATAGAAAAGGGAGAGTAAATAGAAAGGTAAAAAAACAGAAAATAATATGATTATGAGTTATCACAAATAAGGCCATAAATACTGTCATCAGATTTGATTTGTACCTGTGCACCAGACATAAGGGTTGCAAGATTGAAATCCCCAAACACACAGCTCATGCACAGCTACAGAGCAAATGGATACATGCACAAATATAAGTCATTTTTTAATAATTATTCTGTACATTGTTATAGGAAACATAATGATACATTATATATTCAGTGTTGAGTATTAGCATACTATTATATTTATAAATAGTACAAGATATAACACAATTTGGAAAATAAAAGTCTGGTAAATAAGACGATACAATGTGCTAAAATATTTGTTCTCTTGTTCCATCAGTAAAGTTTGCATTGTGTTTTTATTTGTGTTTATTCCAGCAACTGTCCGCTGTAATGCTTACCTGTAGTCAAACGATCCCTCCTGATCTTTGTCATCCACTGGTTCTAATGAAATGTCTTTCTTTTCCCGTACTGAAATGAAAGCAAAGTACACTGTCAAACCAGAAACAGTGTGTTGCTCATGGACATTATAAAGTAATGTGAAGAATCACCGCTGCACCTGGGTATTTCCCCCCTCGGCTCCTTTTGATGAAGCAGACGATGAGTAGGATGAGCACGATGAGAGCCACAGCACACATTATCCCGATGAACCAGCCCTGAGTGGTGATGTCCACCTGATCCTGTGCATATACTGAGACACACACATGAGCAAACACATGTAAGTACATAGGCCATCATTAAATGTGTTTACATGTATGTGGCAGGCCATCAAATGTGTTGATCTTACTTTCTGTGGTGTAATGCAGTGACTCCTCCGTATGCCAGTCCCCTATCCCGAGCCGAGTTTGTGCGGCCACGGAGAATCTGTATCGGGTGTAGCGGTCGTATCGCCTGAGTGAGAAACTTGTTATATTTGGAGTGAACTCTTCAACCCGCTCCTCCTCTCCCCTGGAAGCATTCACTGTGAAGAGAGTGGGAATTCAAGTGTGCTTAGAAGTCTCTTGATGCAGGTAGAGTGCACACAACACCATTATGTAGCTTATCTGCTCGGAAAGGGCCCACACAAGTGTTCATTAACCTTTCTATAACATACTTCAGTGGTATTTTGGTCTTTGAGTGCATATTCAATTGTGCTATTATTATGTGCTACCGGGACCGAAGTGTTATTTCTCAGATTCAGTGAAATGAACAGCTTTGTTTTATGTTATTAAAGGTTGCTGTTTCTTCTAGGCAATATGCTAAATGTTTTGAATGTTCCTGAGGCTTGGATGACGTACCTGTCTGATACTTGAGTAAATATCCAGTTATGATACCGTTGGGTTCGGCTGGCAGGTCCCAGTCGACATAAATACTGTCAAGATGTCGCTGTTGGATCCTAAAGGATGTGGGAGTGGATGGTACTACAGACAAGAACACAGCAGGAGACAACACACATAAACTTTGGAAGTAAACATTCATTCATGATTTCAATGTGCTTTTGATCTGTTTTTTTTTATGGTTAATGAGTGACTTTTCTTACCTCCTTCCGGCGTTGAGAAGTGTATGTTATTACTGGGCGGCCCTTCATATCGATTGTTGGCCACCACTATATACAGCTTGTAGTTGCTATAGGGGATGAGTCCAGTTAGGACCCCCGACGGCTCCGGATCATTCACTAAAAAAGATCTAGACTTCATCCCTCTGTTGACTCTCTGCCACCTCAGCTGGCTGCTGTCCCTCCAGAAGTAAGCCTGATAGATGAGAAGCAACACACTGAGCATTTTCATTATGAACTCCTGCACACTGTCTTTTAATAAGGTATTTGTATACATACTGTATGTATGCTCATGATTTGTTTTATAACATTGCATATTATTTAGTTGGTCGAATAACTTCTGCATGCCAATAAACTACACTTTATCTTCAAGGAAAACTTGTAATTTCGTACATTTCAAAGTGTCATCTCCGGTGTCTTATATTATCTTAGACTTATATTCGTAATATCCCTGAGAAATTTACAATTTTCGCCCTCCGCATATCCCAATCGAACCTGTTTCTC